GAAGGCGACCATTGCAGTCGATCTTAACGAGATCCCCTGTGCGATAATACACTTCGTCGTTGATATGAACGAGTGCCTTTTGTGTCAAATCATCACGTCCAAGATAGCCAGCAAATACCCCTACGCCTGTGAGAAATATCTCGCACTTTAAACCCATTATAGTTGGTTGTGAAAACTCATCAAGTAAACGACATTGATAGTTTGGAGGGAGCCTGCCAAGTGAAACAGTCTTTATATCAATTCTTGGATCTATTTTGCTATACAAAGATGTTAAAGTTGTTTCGGTTGGACCATACATGTGCCATATGATACATTTATTGTTGATAATGCTTTTTAAAGCAGTGACTAGTTTCGCAGACGCTGATTCACCTGAAATAGAAAATTACGAGATGCAGTCGGAAACTGGTTCCTTACCTCCGGTTTGAATAGCCAGAATATACTTAAGAGTGTATGAATTATCTTGTGCTTCGACAAAACTGGTAAAATTTTGCAGGAAAGTTGGAGGTGAAGCAAAACAAGTAATCTGTTTTGTATACATAACATTGCACAGATACTCAAAATCAAGATTTCCCCTTGGATGAAGAATAACTAAACTACTTCCAAATTTGAAAGCTCCCACCATCTCTTGAACATGAATGTCAAAGTAAGATCGCACTACTTGTATAATTATATTGTTTTTATTACAAACGCCAAGATGAGATAAGCAGCGCATAGACTGAATGAAGTTTCTGTGTCGTATCTGCGCCTACAGACAAGACATATTGATAATGTGCTATTACTTTTAGGTATGTCTTAACTTACCGGCTTCGGGACACCACTTGAACCACTTGTAAACAGAATATAGGCTATATTGTCCGGTGTGACTGCCACGTCTGATAATTGATGTACGTGAATCTCACTAAGAAAATAGTGATTGATTATCACTGAATTGATGTCCACGATAACAATGTCACCGCTGAATCGGTTTTTTGTTAGCCAATGAACAAGAAGACAACGGCTGCGGGTCTGTTGCATCAGTAAATGCAATCGATGTTGAGGATCCCGAGGGGACAATGGACAGTAGGCACCTCCAACTATTTCGATAGCCATGCTACCAACAACCTAGTACAAATAACACTACTTAAAATGTCGGATAATCGTTTCGATCTCATCAAAATTTTTTCCTTTTGCACGAGTATCTGTATCGTATACTATAACAAAAACCATTCAGCTTTGTGTAAGCGCATGTTTGTTGTTCTCATTTCTTATTAGTATCCTTAAGAATGACAAGAGGTATTCATTGGTATGAGATAAGTGGCATATGCAAACGAGTATTATCGAATAGATTGATGGAAAATATAGTGTTGAGCTCAAGTTGGATGTTGATAACAAGTAACATACAATAGCTCTCTGTTGACCCTGGCAATAATGTTGGTGCGTTCTTATTAACAGCGATAGAACACTGACTCTACTGATTGATAGATGACTGGAATTCTATTACAACGATATTTACTGTGAAAGTCTCGAGATATAAAGATGTACTTTCAATAATTTGTAAGCAGAAAAAAAACAGACATCCTGCGTTCACAAATATCTCTTGATTGGTCTTCCAGGCATCCTAAACGTTGTATTATCCGATTCAGTTTGCTCAATTCGGTGTAATCAATCATAAAAATGATATAGAAAAAAAGGTTTTAGTTTTTAAATTTAAGTTAATTAAGCGTGAATTGACGGATTGGTCCCCTGACCAAACAACCAGATATAACGAGAAAGCACCCCACCGACGG